GAGCGGCGGCGGCGGGGACGGCCGGGCCCGGGAGGCCCCGACCCGACCCAGATCCTCCTGCCGGGGCGGAGCGCGGAAGGGGGAGCCCGAAACCCCGGGGTTTGGGCCGTCTTCGCCGCCTCTTAACTTCCTGCGTGACCTGGGCCCAGCTACTCCCTCTCCGGACCTCAGTTTCCCCGGCAGTCGGATGGAGGCTGCCCCCGGCCGCTGGAGTCCGCTTGTGGCCCTCGGCCCTCTCCCCTACGTCTCTTTCTAGTGCTGGAGCGGGACGGCCGTCAGAGGGGAGCCGAGCCGGGAGATCTGGGGCTCAAGGATTCTGAGTGGTTGGCCTCCCCACCTCACAAAGGGCTGCCCCTTGCAGACCCTCCCCTCTGCAAGGCCGTCAGGGGCTGGCCATCCCAAACCGGACCATCAGCAGGGAGCAGCCTGTCATGCCGGCTCCCCAAGCTCCTGGGCACACTGATGCTGCCTCTGAGCATCAAGCAACTCTGGTGGGAATCCTCTGTCTAGCCAAGAGACCTGTGAGCCTCCGTTTCCTCATCTGTAAAGCGTGAGCCGTGGCTCCCATCTCCTAGGACAGGCGGGAGGCCGTCTGTACCCTCTGGGTAAATGTTCAGCATGGCCCAAGAATTCTAACAGGTGCACGACCCCAGGAGGGCCGCCAAACTTCACCCCCACCTTGCTCCTGGGCTGCTGCTGCTGTTGTTGCTGAGCACAGCCCTGAGCTGGGTGGTGTCTGGCCTGCCAGGTGGGTGGGTGGATGGGGTGAGGTGAGCCTGGCCACTGGGACAGAGCTGCCAGGCCCCTTCCTGTTTGGCTAGTAGGTTATCTGTACAAGGCTGTTCCACGTAGACATGTTCGTTCACTGTGCTGCCTAGCCTGGACTTCTAGACGGGGCTCACTCCAATGGCCCTGCAGGCAGGGGCCTCAGAGACCCCACTAGATCTCCCCTCCTGGCTTTACAGGTAGGGAGAAGCTGGTGCAAGATCACAGAGCAAGTCTGTGGATGAGCTCCTTGGGGACTGCTGCATGATTTTGTTTGTAATCACACATCTCGCATATATGAAATACAGTCCAACTCTCCTGAGGCCTAGGAAGGGACTGAAAGTCAGGTCCCACAAGGAGCATGTCCAGGAAGTAGGGGGTGTTGAATTCTGGAGGCCTGTCCAGCGTGAGGGGTTAGGGGCTCATGGGACTGCCATGGTGTGTCCCCTGGAGGCTGAGCCAAGACTCGTGAGAAAACCCCAGAGAGCGGATCTGGAACAGCCTGCTTCCTGTTCTCAGAAGTTCCCAGAGAGAAGCTGAGCAGCCATTTCCTGCTCAGAGAGAATTTGTGCCTGAGTCCTAGTGTTCTTTTGGCCCCTGTGCCCACCACACCCTCGGCCTGCCCAGTGCCCCTACCCTGAGACCTTACCTTTCCCAACTTTTCCAACTAGAAGTCAAGCTGTAGTGTTATTCTTCCCATTTACAGATGAGAGAAACCCGGGGACTTGTCCGGAGTTCCCTAAGCTTGAGACAGTTCAGTAGTTGTGTGTTGAGTAGCTACTGGTACCAAGCCCTGTCAGACCCTATCCCTGCCCCATGTACTCCTTGGTACTTGTGCCCCCCGCCCGCCCCCAGCCTGCTGTCCTTCCCCAGGGCCTGACACTGAACAGGTGAGCAGTGAATATTTGTGTAACAAACACATCGATGAATGAGTTGATGCACAGGGCCTTAGTGGAAGGATCATGGGATCTGGAGCCAGAAACTTGAGTTCAAATCCTGACCCTGCCATGTATAAGCGACTATGCTTTGTACCTTAGCTAAACTGTAGTTGTTGGTGGTGTGCACAATGGGATTGGGCTATTGTGATCCATGGGGTATTTACAGACTGATTTTTGGAATTAGATCTCCAGGCCTTTCTTCCTAGTTTGTCTCCGCTTGGAAGCCCCACTGAACCCTAGTGAGCATCATAGCAGTACACAGGCATCCAGGGACGGAGGGTGTGACTATGCTTGGGCTACATTGGCCAGGGCTGGTGTGTGCCCTCAAGTCTAACTGATTCTGACTTGGTGACCCTACATGACAGAGAAGGGTTTCCTGGGCCGTCATCTTTAAAGGAGCTGACCTCTTGGTTAGTAGCCAAGCACGCAACCATTGTACCACGAGTCCTTCCAACCAGGACTACTTCTCCTTTGTTAAGTACCACCTGGGTGTTTTTCCGGTCTCATTTCACTTGCCCCTCTTGAGGACTTTTCCAGACGCCACCCTGAGAATGTCTTTATGGAAACTGAGGCTCAGACAACACAAGTTCCTGGTCCCAAGTCATCCAGAAATAGAGCCCAATGTCCACCTCTCCTGCCAGGGCCCTCGGTTTCCCCCTCCGCCCAGGGATGCATCCCACCCACGACCCTGACACAACACAGCTCTCTCCCACAGGTGGCTTGAGCGTGGGTGACTTCCGGAAGGTGCTGATGAAGACGGGGCTGGTGCAGGTGGTGCTGGGTCACGTGAGCTTCATCGCGGCTGCTCTGCTCCATGGCACAGTGCTGCGCTACGTGGCTGCCCCCCATGATGCCGTGGCTCTGCAGTACTGCGTGGTCAACATCCTCTCAGTCACCTCTGCCATCGTGGTACTGTGGACCGGTGCTTTGGGGAGGGGGCTGCAAGGCCTTTGAAGAGTCCCCAGCCAGCACCTGGAGTGGGCAGGCAGAGACCTGCACACACTCTGCTCTGCCCCGGGCACTCGGCCGCTCCTTACTCTGACTTCCTTGTCTGTAAGATGGGGTCAGTGTGGGGCCCACCTAAGAAGATCCTGGTGAGATTGAGTGAGCCCAGCATAGCACCTGGTCTGGCTACTGCCTACTTCTATGAGCTGGGATTATGATGGTGATAGTGACTTAAGGTGCCCCTGGACAGCAGGGCCCAAGGGATTTCACAGGAGTGGAGATCCCTGAGCTGGATATTGGCAGATGAGTCCGAGTTCTCAGATGGGCCACGGTTACCATGATCTAGGTGTAGGGCCCAGCTGCTGGGGCTGGCAGGTAGAAAGGAAACTGGGATGGCATGCCAAGCTGAGAAAATAACATGGTGTGGAGGTGGGGATAGGGAAGATTTATTCTGCAGACATGGAGAAAACCAATTTGGCAGGAATTTGGCAGTAGGCTTGGCATTGCTGTCAGTGCTTGATAAACGGTGGTCTTGATGGCTGAATGGCCGTACCTCTCTAGTGATCATGCGAATGAAGGGGCCGGACATGCTCCGGCTCGGCCAGTTCCTTCCTGCCCATCCGCTGAGAGGCCATGGAGTTCCAACTCCCCCACCCCTCCCTCCAAGCTGCTGCCTCTCCTGCAGAATGCAGCTCAGACAGCCCACCAGCCTCCAGGCCTGGGTGATGAAGCATCCGAGGCCCCAGCAGAAGGGAGCCTCAGTGCGGGGCAGGGCTGAGCCGTGCAGATGTGTGGAGTGGAGTTACACTTACTGCTGTTGTGTGGTGAAGAAGGCAGGGGAGGGCTGGGAGCTCAGGGCTAGGTGGCTCACTGGGGGTGAACTTGGGAACTGTCCATCTGACCCGTCAATCCTCACTGATCCCAGGGACACTAGCTACCCTCCTATAGATACAAAGGCACCAAATGGGAATCTGAACCTAGTTGTGCCTGACATCAAAGCCAGTGCCCCTCCTGTGAGCCCCTTCTGCAGAGCAGGACTTAACTCAGAGGTGCCGAGGCACTAACACATGGCTGGTTGGCCAGTGAATTAAAAGCATGGCTGGATCTGGACTCTGGAAGGCCCACTGTAACTGCTCAGACATCCCCCAGGGGTCTGCTCCGGGTAGGATAGAGTCCCAAAGAGCAGAAGGCAGCTGTTGGGCTAAGTAGTCACCCTCCTCCTGGGGCAGAGCGCACCAGGGAGGCGTGCTGGAGAGAGAACCTGAGCAGGGAGGCTGCAGGAGCTGGCAGGTAGAGGAGGACTGGTGTTCTTGGTGAGCGGTCTCACGTGGGTGGCCCCATGCGCTGCCTCTTGAGTATGCCTGGGTGGGGGAGGGAGGTCCCCAGATCCAGGGCAGTCGGGAGACTGGCTGGCCAGGATGCCGTTCGTTCAGAAGATGATGGAACTAGGGCCAGCTCCTGGAGGGCCTGCAAGCTTTTAGAATATTCCCAAGGATTTTGAATCCTACTCCATTAAATGTCCAGGTTCTGTTTTAAAGTGACCATTTTGCTTTCAGCTCCTTGCCAGTTCTTTCTTGTGTCTGCCCACCCCACAACCCCAAATCTCCCACATTTGTCCTGTGGCTCAACATACCCCCAGGCCTGCTCCTGCACTCCGGGGGTACGCAGACCCCTATTTTCGTTGCTTGGCTGGAGGCGATGGGAAGTCATGGAAGGTTGTAGGCAGGGAGCGGTTGTGTTTTAGAGGCCTGGCTCCAGGGCTGGGTGGAAGCTAGACTCTGAGGAGCCCATGATGCCAAAGCTTGGTAGGGGTGAAGGGAGTGGGTGGTTTGGTGACCCCAGTTGGGTTAGTAGAAACTTCATCTGAGTGTGGCCCAGCGCCCCTCCCTCCTGGACTGACCCAAGCCTCCACACAGGTCATCACCTCTGGCATCGCTACCATCGTGTTGTCCCGATACCTCCCGAGCATCCCCCTGGTATGTGGTATCCTGGTATCCCCCCCTGGGTGGTTGGTTGGGGCTGTTGGTAAGAGTGACCTCAGGGTGGCCCAAGCTGCCCAGGAACCAAACTGACGTTCGCCGGCCTTCCCCTTCCAGCGCTGGACAGTGTTAAGCTCAAGTGTGGCCTGTGCCCTCCTCTCGTTGACCTGTGCCCTCGGCCTCTTGGCCTCGATGGCCGTGACCTTTGCCACCCAGGGCCGGGCACTGCTGGCCGCCTGCACCTTTGGGAACCCTGAAGTTCTGGCCCTCGCACCCAACTGTCCCTTTGACCCCACACGCATTTACGTGAGTACAGAGATGAGGCGCTAGGTGGTGGGGATGGGGAGAGGAAGGGATCCTGGGGTCTGCCCTCGGCCCCCAGCCCCTGACGGTCATCTCCCGTGTCCCTGTGCTGGCCACAGAGCTCCAGCCTGTGTCTGTGGGGCATCGCGCTGGTATTCTGCGTGGCAGAGAGCGTGTTTGCTGTGCGCTGCTCCCAGCTGGCCCACCAACTGTTGGAACTGAGGCCCTGGTGGGGGAAGAGTAGCCTCCGCCCGGTAAGACCCACCTGCTGCCCCACCCCTGTCCCTGCTGCCCCACCCCTGTCCCTGCTGCCCCAGAGCCCCTGCCAGAAAGGTCAGGCTTGTCTGCCCCTACCACCACCCTGAGGACCAAGGGGTGAGGTGTGGAGGCCCAAAAGTGAGCCCACCTGGCTGAGTCACACAGCCGATGCCGGACCCACCCAAGATCCAGGATGAAGTCTTGAAAGAGGGAGGGGAATATTTGGACTGGAATTGGGGCCACTCCGAGGGGCTGCCTTAGGTCTTGCCTTTGGGGTCCTCCCAGATACCCCCATTCCCTGGGCATCCTGGAGGAAGAAACACAGACCCAGTGGGTCCGGCAACTTCCTGTCTCTCGCAGATGCAGGAGGGCCGGGAGCCGATGGAGGGCCATGACCTGCTGAGCTGCACCAGCGCAGAGCCACTGACCCTGTGAGGGTGATGCTTCGCCGAGTCCGAGCCATGGGGCCGCAGACCATGTCTGAACTGGACCCTGGGGCCAACCCAAGAGGACTCATTGGACACTCGGGCACCCAGGTGGGACTTTTAGTCCCCTTTCCCGGCCACCCAGCCCACCGCACTGAGACGAGACTTTATTCAGAAGTTGTTAAAAAGAACAGAGACGCTCCATGTGGATGCATGCGGGAGGGTGGGGAGGGTGGGTCCGGCCAGGGGCTGTGCTTCTAACCCACATGGGACACTTGTGCGTGGGGCTCTGGGGCCACCTGCCCATCTGCCTGTGGGCCTGTGTTGGTGAGAGAGAGAGACCTAATATACCCAAGGGTCCGTGGGTCTGTGTGTGATGAGCTGTGTTGGTCCAAGTGCTAATTGGCATGTGGGGTGCAGAAAGATTTTCCTTTTGCACCATGGCCCTCAGGGCAGAAAGGGCTGAGTCCCCCTGAAAGTTCTTCCTCAAACTTTCACCTGGGGAATCCTATTTGAAGGCAGACTCCTCGCTTGGGGCACCTGGGCAAGGCCCTCTCCTCCCCTCCAGCTGGGGAGCCTGCCTGTGATAGAGGAGGGAGCTCTGACCTCCAGGTGACTGGTGTATGCGCGTGCGGGGAGAGGGGCTTATGATACCAAGATGGGGGTGCTGACTGAGGGGCCTGTGTCTATCCTTAGGAAAAGAGATGTGGCCTCTTGGATTGTGGGATGCTAACTGCAGGGCTCCCTTCTCCAAGCCCCCCCCACACACACACACACAGTGCAGACCCTAGGGGGCCCTGGGGAGACAAGGGAGTGAAGGCAGCGAGGAGCGCGGGCGACCCCTCGGGCTCAGAACTGGGAGGCGCTGCTGGGGTCGCACTGCAGCAGGCGCACGATGGACGGGTCGCTCTTGGCCCCGCGGATGAACTCCTCCAGGGACAGTTTGCCTGCGGGACAGGAGGGCCTTGATAAGAGGAGGCTACTGCGGGCAGAGTGGGGGGGGGGAGCCAGTCGCCCACCACGCCCCCTCACCATCGTTGTTGGTGTCCATTTGGCGGAAGATTTTCTCCGTTCTCTTCTCCGGGGTCGACTCGTCCTCTGGCATCTTCATCACGGACGAAACCATCTTGTAAATGGCCTGGGGGGCGGAACGGGGGTCAAGGCAGGGAGTGAGAGGGGCTGGCCAGAGTCACCACCACCAAGATCCGAAAGCACCCCCAGGCATGCAGTGAGGTTGGCGGAACCCCAGCCGGCGTGGGGTCGCGGAGGTTCCGGAGGAAGGTGCAGCTGGGGCCGCGCGCAGAGAGGACGAGCCCGGGAGTGGGCAGTAGGGATCAGGGAAGCCGCTGCAGGACCACGCCTGGCCCGCAGCTTAGGCCTGCTTTTCAGGAACACCGGGGCTCCAGCAAGGAGCTGTGGACCAAGGACAGGGACTGCTAGCTAACCCCAAAATCGGCAGTTCAAACTCGGCTGCTTCTCCCGGAGAAAGAAGAGGCTGGATGAAGCCTTGGGAACCCTGAGGAGCAGTTCTGTACTGCCCCTATCGGGACGCAGTGAGTTGGAATGCACTCTGATGACAGTGATTTAGGGGTACCCGCCACTCACGCTCCCTTAGGCAACACGGGGCGCCCAGCGCAGGGGAACACTAGGCTGCGGAGCCATCTGTAACCTGCAGGCGGAGGGCTGGTGGTGCCCCAGCATCTGGGCCCGGAGGGGCGGGGCGTTCTACAAATCGTGCAGAGGAGTCCCTGCTGGGGGCAGGGACAGCCTGGGCTCCGCCAGGCCGAGGGCGGCGGGGGCGGGCACCAGCACGTGCCCGAGCTCCCCGGGCCCTGAGGCTCCGGCGCGGGATTTTTGCGCCAGCTGTACACAAGGCTTGGTCTTTGGAAGGGACTGGGTTCAGGCCCCTTGGAATAAAAGAACCAGACCGGTAGCCGCAATTCCCTCTAGTTTTTCCCCCCAACACCTCCTCCAAGAAGGCTCCTGCTTCAGCCTCAGATCCAGCTTGGGGCTTCGGCCTCCGCACGGGTCTCTTCCGGTCTCCTTCCCTCAGGTCTGCGCCCCCACGCTGCCTAGGAAAGCTCTTTCCAAACGCGGATCTCCACTGCTACCTCCCCATCCCAGCGACCGCCCCCTCGCCCCAGCTCCACACAGGCCTCCTTGCAGGCCTGCCAGCGCCCCTCGCTCCTTCTGGAGGCTGCCCCACGCGCCTTCTGCTGCTTCCCACTCCCCGTTCGGGCTTTCTCGAAGGCTGCTCTGACCCAGGCTGGTCAAGGAGCTCCTGGGCTTTGCCTATCTGGAAGTGAACATGTCAAGGCAGGACTGTTGTGTGCCCTTGAGGGTTCATTTGGAGTCACAGCGACCCTACAGGACCCCTTAGGGGTGCCTTATGGGAGCTGATCGTCAGGCCTCTTCTGTTGAGGAGGAGCTGGCAGGGGCCCCACCAAGCGGATATGGAAAGACCATGGCCGCCTAGCCCACTTCCCCAGAACCCAGCACAATGCTTGGCACCTTGAAGAGGTTCTGTTTACAAGCCACTGGCACTGCCCACTGCTCTCCGTATCGTGTCCAGTCCACATTCAAGGCACCTCACACTCCAGCCCCTACCAAGCTCTCTACCATGGAAAAGCCTAAGCCTGGGTTTTCCAGACAAATGATCACAGCCCACTACTGATTGCCAGGCATCTCTATGTGCCAGGTCTCTGCACTGTCTCAAAACATGATAATGGCCCTGCGAAGCAGGACCCTGATGCCCACTGTCCAGGTGAGAAGCCAGGCACGGCGAAGATTCAAACTCACTCCCTCTCGGATGCCTAGCAGTGTGGGGTGGTAATAAATAGCCTGGAATGGCATCCAGTGTCACTATGCACTTGCTGGGTAGCCTTCCTCACGCAGTACTTAACCTCTATAAATCTCTATTTCCTCATCTGTAAGTGGGAATGAATGATCATATTGGCCGAAATCAGGCTTGTCCACAGGACTAGGAGGTAATGGCAAAAACCAGCTGGCCCTAGGGTAAGTGGTCACACACTGCAGCTACTGTAGTCATGACCACGTCCCCCAGGCTTTCCTGACCCACACTACAGACCACGCTGACCAGTTCAATGATCGGCTGCACACTTCTCTCCCCCGCCAGCCTGGGGGTCCCCAAAAGGCTGAGACAGGCCTCTTCCTTCCCAGTGTGCCCACTGCCTGGTGCAGAGTTAGGTCCCAAGAAGGACCTGGTACAAGTGACTGAGTGACCATACCCCTCGTGACAGTTCCTCTCCTGGGCCTCCTCATTAATTGGTTGGAATTGCTGCTCGATCATTGTTTCACTGGAGCCGACTTGTAATTAATCAGAGCCCTGTCTGCACCAGTCGTCTGGGGCTGCCCGGCTGCCGCGACAAAGCCTTGACCTAGATAGCAGAGGCCAGCCAGGAAGGATCCCTGAGATGCCCATAGACTAGGGCCGATTTGGCCAATGTGGTTCCTCTAGCAACAGGACCATTTCAAGTCCTAAAACATCCCTGCAGGTGCTACCGAGCTGGCATCCGCTGCGGCCCAGTCCCTGAGTGATCCCCCACCACTCTGGCCACCCCAATCCTTCCACCAGAGTGACCCACCATCCAGCAACCCTGGCCATGGGAGTCCCTAAAAAAACCATTAAGACTCCCCCCACCTCTGTAGGCACTAGAGGGGAGCACCCCCCTAAGGCAGCCCATTCTTTGGCTAAAGAGCAAATCTAGACCCTCAGCAAGAGGGCACTAGGGACCGGAGCGGTCGGTTGGTCGGGAGGCAGAAGAAGGGGCTGAGAGCTTGGGCGAAGCTGCCTGGCAGGACTACTCAGTCCATTTCAGGGATGCAGGCAAAGCCATTCTTGCTGGAGTGGAGGTTATGCAGATGGGGGTGGGGGGTGAGGGTAATCTCTTAGCAGTTACCATGTACTAATTATAGGGTGGCCCAAATAGCCTTGGGAAGTAGGGGCAAACATCCCCATTTTACAGGTGAAGAAACAGACTCAAGGGAAAAGTGGGCAAGAAAATAAAACCAGAGCCCGGACAGGCCTCAAGACCAGACTCAATCAGTGGGTTCTCAGAAGATTTTTGAAATAAAACTAATTCAAGTCACACTTATAGAGTACACTAAGAGAGAGCATTCCAGTTAGCCCCATAACTCCTCCCCACTCCTGTAAGGGCAGCAGCAGCAGTCTCATTTTATAGATGAGCATGCTGAATTGAGGCTGACCCCTGAACTGGACGCTAACCCTCCCTTTTGAGAGATCTGAGCTTGCCTCCACTTACGTGCTGTGGGACCTTGGGCAAGGCACTTCCCCTCTGAGCTCAGGAGTGATCCCCAAGTTTTGTGATCCCCACCGTGCTCGTGGCTACAGGCACCTTGCTCAGTACCTAGCCTGTACTGGTCCCTCAGCCAAATCAGCTGGGCGGGGGGCGTGGGGGATTATTAAGATGGCACTCCAGATTTTGGAGCCACATGACTGCCTCACAGGCTGTGTGGCCTCAAGCAAGTCTCCTTACCTCTCTGAGTCTCTGTGTCCTCCAGAGTGAGAACCACTGACATATAACAGGCCTGTGCTCTGCAGAAATGTAAACAGACAGGTATGTCTGACCCAGATCATGGGGTAGGGCCGGGCAATGTTTCCTTCTGTTCTACAGGAGGACCATCAACACCAACAACGACAACACAGAAACGGGACAGCTAAATGCAGCGTGTGAGCCAAAACCGGGCTGGAGGGGTGGGGGTGGGGGCAAATTCAACGGAGAACATTATTGAGACAGTTGGCAAAATTGGAATATGGCCTGTAGATTAAATAATAGCATTGTTTCTATGTTAAATGTCCAGACTTCAATAATCATATTATAGGTTATGTAAGAGAATGTCCTTGTTCTTAGGAAATACACCCTGGAGCAAACAGGGATAAAGGGAGTCAAGTTCAGGAGCAACCCCCAGACATACACACACAATGAACATAACACTGGCAAATGGGCCGTCGGTGAGTCTCAGAAAAGGTCAGGCATAAGTGAGTTCACCCAGCTTTTCTTAAGCACTGGAAGTCACTTCCTAAAGAAGAGTTGGTGAGCAGGTTGGTTTTTAAATGGGGGGTAAGGTAGTTCCCGCCCCCACCCGCCTAAGCTGTGGAGAGGATAACAGGAGTGGTGGGGATCAAGGCTGGGCCCTTGCCCTTGCCGATCTGGGGGAGCAGGGCCGCCCAGGGCCCGGGGCCCACCTGCACAATCTCCAGCATCTCCTCGCGACTGATGTAGCCGTTGCCGTCCAGGTCGTACATGCTGAAGGCCCACATGAGCTTCTGCTCCAGGCGGCCGCGCGAGGTCACGCTCAGCGCGATGATGAACTCCCGAAAGTCGATGGTGCCGTCGCTGTTGGTATCGAAGGTGCGGAAGACGTGCTCGGCGAACTTGGAGGCGTCGCCATAGGGGAAGAAGTTGGCGTAGATCTTCTTGAACTCGTCCACGTTGAGGATGCCCGTGGGGCAGTCCTTGAGGAAGCCCTTGTACCACTCCTGTAGCTCCAGCTCCGAGAACTCCGTGTTCTCCCGCAGGTCCTGCAACATCTCGGGCCGCAGTTTGCTGTTCTGCTTGCCCATGGCTGCTGAGCCAAGTCCCACCTGGATCCCCGAGGGGGTTAAGGGACAGAACGAGGTGGTCAGGCTCCCCTCAGCCTTGATACCACTTCAGATGGGCCCTTAGACACCAGCTGCCCTGGCCTTTGACCCAGAGAGGGAGAGGGCCTGCCTGGCCCAAGGTCGCAGAGCTTCCAGCCCACAGCCTGCCTCTGTGACTCGCTCCACACCCTTTCCCCACACCCTACACATTCTCAGAGAGTAGATCCAGAGGGAGAGGGTTGGAAGGGTGCTCCCTTTTACTGAGGCCCTACTACGTTCCAAGCCGTGTCCTTTCATCTTCCCCAGGGTAGGCCATTGGGGATTAGCCCCATTTTACAGATAAGAGGATAGGCTCCAAGAGGTGACTCCACCGGCCTCAGCTCAGGAAATCATGGCATGACAAAGCACCTCACAGCTTTCCGGGGCAGTGCAGAAGACGCCTCTGGTCCTCCACCCCCTCCCCACTGCCCCATGTGGACTTGGCCAGAGGCAGCAAGGGGGAGGTGCCAGTCTGGGTGCTGCAGCTGGACTGCCTGGGTTTGAATTCCAGCTTTGCCTCTTACCTGCTCTGTAACCTGGAGTAAGCTCCTAAGCTCTCTCTGCTGCACCTGTGAAGTGGGGGTAGTAACTGGACCCCTCATAGGACTTGGGTGGGGATTTAATTCGGCAATACATATGACACATTTAGAATAGTGCATGCACACGTAAATGTGACGGGGCACGCTGGTTACTTGTTGGGCTGCTAACTGCTAAACCAGCAGTTTGAAACCACCAGCCTCTCTGCCGGAGAAAGGGGGTGTTTTCTACTCCTGTAAAGAGTTACAGTCTCAGAAACTCACAGGGCCAGTTTGACCCTGCTTTATAGGGTGGCCATGAGTCGGAATCAACTTGATGGCAGTGAGTTGTTTTTGTTTTGTTTTGTTTTTAAGGCCAAAAGGAGTCCCTGGGTGATGCAAATAGTGAAAGGTTAGCTTACTGGCTAATAGGCTGGCAGTTTGAGCCCACCCAGAGGCACCTCGGAAGATAGGTCTGGTGATCTACTTCCAAAAGGTCAAAGCCTTGAACACCCAGGGGGCAGTTCACCTCTGCAAACATGGGGTCGTCATGAGAAAGAGTGAACTTGATGCCAATCATCAACCAGATGCCCCAAAACTGCGCAAAAGAATGCATACTGATATATACCCTGCCACACAGCCTACTGAGCCCACACAGGGTCCCCTACCACCCACATAGCCCACACCCACCCATGGGTCTTCATGCCTGCATACATGACAACATTCCCTCCACTACACAGTGCATATATACTGCCACCCAGCGTCACACAAAACTCCCATCCCCTGTGCACGAAGACACAGCAGCCCACGACCCCACATGTCTCACACATGCCGTCACACGCCAACTCACATGCCGACACCTCTCACATGGCTAGCGGCACGTGGGACCCTCAGGCACCCTTGCCATCTTTCTCTTTTCTCTGAGGGGTACTGCCAGGTCCCAGGAGGGGGAGCTGCAGCCCTTCCTGGACCTGCTGGGATCCCCCTTCTAAAGAGATGCCTAGCCTGCTGGCTCCTCCCCCAACGAGTCCAGAAAGGTCCCCTCAGTGCAGGATGCGGGGGTGTGTGCAGGTGGATGCCCCCCGGGCTGGGGCTGCGAGTGGGACAGGGTGAGAGGGCTCCTGGTGTCTGCAGAGCTCTGCACAGGCAGGTGTGCACACACAGGCCCCCGGACTCTGCATTGTATGTGTCTCCAGGAGCGTTTGCATCCATGCGTGTGCATGTGCGTAGAGACCAGGTATGCCCCATGCCATTGGGGGGGGCACCTATGTGTCCTCAGCAGGCTGTCACATGCGTGCTTCTGCAAGTTGGAGCCCCTCCATTTAGGATCCACCTCTTCGGCCCCAGGCTAAGGACCCGCGGAACAAGTGTGTGGGAGAGGGCTGAGGAAATGCGTAGGGCTGGGTGGGGGCGTGTGTTCCTTGCTCCCCTCCTCAAGGTCCAAGGAACTGGGTCACCGAGGCGGGGGTGGCGAGATGTGCTGGGCAGGAGAGATCCTCCAGTGCCCCCTCCTCCCTGCCATCCTTAGAGTTGCCCCTCCCAATTGCAAGACTTAGAATCTAGGGGCCCGAAGATGCTTCAGTCCCCACCTGGATCCCTAGTCTTCCAAATGGGCAGCTCGACCAGAGACACCTGCCCCTGAAACCATTTCCAAACCTCCCCAGCTCTCGCCCCGGGCCCACAGCCGTCCTTTCCGCACCATGCGCGCCAGGCGCGACGGCCCTTCCTGGAGGGGGCGCGCCCGGAGGCCGGAAGGCGACTCCTCCCGGCTGGGCACCAGCTGGGCACTCGGAGGGCAGGACCCTGGAGAGCGCCACGCGTCTCCCGGGAGCTCCCGCGGCCCGCTCCCCGGAGGCAGGATTCCTGGAGCAGCGGGGCGCCCCGGACGGGGCCTTCTCCCTCCGGGCCCCCGCTCCCTGCAGCCCCCAGCCCCGAATGGCGCGGCCCCCACTCACCCAGCGACGCGGAGGAGACACCGACTGCGCAGGGAAGGCGGCGCTGCAGCGGCGCGCGCGGCAGAGGCGGCCGGAGGGGTGGGCGGGGGGAGGGGCTG